ATCTTTATCTGTGTCATTTCGTAGGGTCTGTTGTGGCTGGGGTGTATATGAGGACTTGGAGTGGATAGTCTTGTTCAGTCTTTTGCAGGCAACCCTTGAGGGCTGTCCATGCTGGTGAGCGAGCCTCTTTGATCCTTTGGTGTCCAGGTGATTGGCCATAAATGCAGAAGACTGGACTTAATGGCTCAGGAAGCCTCTTCCAGTCCTGTGTCCCAAGTGCATTTTCCTTGCTGGAAAGGACTGCCACCTGGGAATGGTTTGAAGGGCTTATGGACACATTATTTTCTCCCTGCCAGGGTTCTTAGTTGAACTAGGTTTTCCATGATCTTCTAGGGAGAGATGTACTCTGAGAATCACAAAGTTCCCTTAGCTGTTTGATTTCTGTTACGGCTATGAGAAAATCACTGCCTTAACAGTGATTTATGGGAGTAGTTCCTTGATTTACCTAAAAAACCCCAAACAACTGGACTCTGCTTTAAGTATTATTCAGCTGTGTCATGCAGGTGGAAGCTTTTTGCACCTCCCCCTTCCTCCCAACCCCTCCTTTTTTTTTTTTTTTTTTTTTTTTTTTTTTTTTTTTTTTTTTTTTTTTTTTTTTTTTTTTTTTTTTTTTTTTTTTTTTTTTTTGCCTTTGAATGGATAGCTGCTATGATTGTTCTGCTGCGCTTCCCACAGGTTGGGATTGTGAAAAAGGCGCTTGACCATGAGTTAGGTCTCTCAGCTTCTGTTTGCCCTTACTTGTCCCTGGGACTAGTTTTGATACCAGCTCAAACTGAAGCTCTTGTCAACTGACTTCGAGAGAGAAACTGGTCCAGATTAGCCACAGAAGTCTTCCATTCCAGATCAAGGCAGGCAAGGTTGCCTGCCTGCGTCCTTAGACCCACCAGAAATTCCAGATCAAAGCACTGGTCTGCAAAGGTCAAATAAGAAATCTGTCTCAAGTACAGTGATGCATACCATACATTGCCCTGGATAACTGTCTGTATGGCTGTGTAAAAATAGCTCGTTCCAGAGTTTGCTCGCAGCCAGTGGTCCATGTCACGTGTTGGATGAGGGAAGAAGCACCAGCTATAATGATGGAATCATAGATTTTACATTTGATAAAAACATTAAAGATCAGTTGGAAGGCCTGTTGTCCAAGACCACAGGTCAGGGAGACTGCTTCTCTTGCCATATTTTATTTGTTTCTATTGCCATAGTTGCAGACCTTATTAATGTTTTTGAGTGCAGGGTGTCACAACTGGGTTCTGATACAACCACCTGCAACAAGTAGTGGTTGGAGTGAGATGCAAATCCCCATGATGCTACTTTGGTCTCTGCCTATGTTCACTGACTCGATTGGGATCTTTAATATTTTTATTATGAAAGTTACTCACTTTTAAAGTATTTTGCTGGAAAGCAGTCTCTTGGCCACTAGATAAGTAGGAATCATCAGAATACCTTTCTGCTACTGGGAAGCAGTAAATTGTCACTAAATTAAATCTCCACTCCACTTTCATCATACAGATACATGCCACATGTAGCTTTGTGTCCAGGCTCTAGGCTAGTGGAGTGCCCTCCACTACTACTTTGAATGTGGCAGCATCCCTGGTTGAGAACCAGTGTTGGTGCTGCCTCAGCTTACCTGAGTGCTTCTCAACCGGGTTCTGCTGCTTCTGGGTATAAGTGCCCCAGGTGCCTGCTGCGCAGCCAGCCCAGCAAGGGCCGGTACATGCGTACAGTAGTGCTGCATTAGGGCTCTGATCTGCCTAAAGCAAGCAGGAGCTGCCTTTTACTACGTAGCCCTTCCTGGTCCCTGTTTGCCCCCCTGCCCAGTCCTTCCCAGGCTATCTGGAAACAGGCATGCAGGTGGAACTGTCCCGCATGCCTTTGTTTTGTGGAGGGCCATAAGGGGGACCAAACCGGGAAGGGCTACACAGCACCAACCGGCTCCTGCTTGCTTGAGGCTGATCAGAGCCCTAATGCAGGAGGAGCACGTGGAGCAGTTTTACTTGGCTGCTATTTGCTGCTGTGGCAGCAGCGCCTGCATTGCAACACTCTGGTTGAGAGCTATTGGCTTACGTGTAAAGGTGGTGTTTGTCACGGGCTGTTTGAGATACCTGGCCGGGGGTGAAGGTCACCTTTGATATAACTGAGTTGCGGGTTATGTCAGACCTGGTGTTCTTCCTGTTCCTGAAGAAGCAGAAGCACTCTGCTCCATTAAACATTTTCAGAATAATATTTTGCCCAAATATTTGCTTGGTCTCAGTTAGCAGACTTCAAGAACACAAAGCTCATATAGTGTCCTTAGATTACCAGGGGATGGGACACTGCTTAGTTTAGAGGCATAAATAAGTGTTCTGTATTCATTGTACAGTGAATTTCTTAAAATTATTTTTTTTAACTTTTTTTTAATTGGATGAAGCATGATAATTGTGAAGCCACAGAATGAGTTTTATGCAGGCTCAAACTTTGTTTATTGTGTCCTTTTATTCAGTCGCCCATGTGGGGCCTGTTGGTTCACTGAGGGCATATCAAAGTGCAAGTATTGGCTTAGCAAATGGATTGTAAGATGGATCCAAGCTATTTTAATGCAAATTTTTGCAGTTGGTTGCACTTGTGGGGCTTATGGTACAGTTACATCATCCCTCTTGTGACTGTGCTGTTTTCAGATGAACTGACTGCTTGCTTTTTTGCTTCCTGGTTTTTACGAATGCTTCAGTCAAGCAGGAAATCAAGAAATGAGTCCAGCGGTAGTTAAATCCTTTTTCTTTTTTCTCTCTCAACTTTCCATAGGCTGGAGTGAAAGGGACGTTAGGAAGATTAGTAGGAATTTTTGAGGTAAGTTTATTAAAATATCTATTAAGATTGTAAAATTTTGCTGCAAAATGTCATGTCAGTGAAAATTCCATTTCCAGCTGCAGCAAAGCAGTTTGCATGTTGGCCCAACTAGACAATCGTATATGGAAATAAAAAAAAATAAAAAAAAATGAGGCTCCTTGCAAATGTGCGCTGAGTTTTCAAGGGTTGGGGGTTCCCTTAGTTTCCATTTCTGTCAGACTTACTGGTGACCAGCAGCTATCAAAATTGGGCCTCTTGCTGGGAATGCCAACGCTGTCCAGTAGTAGAGAAAATAATTTTGAGGAATTACTTTCATTTGTGTATTTAGCATGGACCTCTGCATACTGCTTCATTCTGATTCCCTTGATTCCTCTCCCCCTCCCCCTCCCCCCATTTACACGCAAACTCTTAATCCCCTCTGAATAGCGTTTTTTATCTTGCAGTCGGAGACCACTGTCACTCTGGTTCTGTAGATGCCCTCTCTATTCCCCCCCCAATTTTTAGACTTTTAAGCTATTGTCTGCTTGCAGACTTGGTTTTAAACCTGTCCACTTTGCATTTCAGAACCGGGACAGGAAACACAGAACCTATGTTTACGTACTTATTGTCACAGAAGTTTTGGAAGACTGGGAGGATTCTGTCAATATTGGTAAGATCCTTAAACTCTTGCTAGCTTCCCTGTAGACATAGCATGCCAGCTGCCCACCCACTCACTCCTCTGTGCAGAAAGCTTGGGATCCTTTGTGCGAGTGACTTAGAAAAGTTGACTTGTACTGTCTTTTAGTTTGTTTGGAGGTCAGAAATATGATTTGGGTTTTTGATTCCTCGTTAACATCTCTCGCTAACTTGAAGGCAGCTCCATGGCTCGCATAGAAGCTAGCACCGTAATGTTTTGCCAGACTCTTCTTGCTTCTGGCACTGTGAGGTGTGTAAACATCTACATATCTTTTATTAGACCAACTAAATAGTTGGAAAAATTGTTCTTTGCAAGCTTACAGGTACAAACACCCTTCTTCAGGCAGAGGGAGAGTTTGCAGTTACTTTGTGCTCTCCTGGATGGGTTAGAAGCCAGTATGCAAGAATGTCACTGACCTGCATTCTTATACTGGCTTCTGTCCCATCCAGGAGAGCATAAAACAAGTGCAAACTCTCCCTCTGCCTGAAGAAGTGTGTTTGTACTCGAAAGCTTGCAAAGAAGAATTTTTCCAACTATTTAGTTGATCTAATAAAAGATACTGGATTTACCCAAAGAACCTTGTCTGCCTATGTCCTTAGAGACCAATACAGCTACAACCAATACCCCTGGAACGTCTACATATAATTCACAAGATGAACCCAGAGATGCCAAATGGGGATCCGTAATGTCAAAAACGTTCTGACCTGTGGTCTTCTTTTTTTTAAACCAAAAAATGGCTCTATTTTTCCATAGTCAAAAAACAAATGAAATTCATTTTTGAAATGGAGTGCCACTAACTTAGAAAAGTTATGCCTTGAGTCTGTAAAGGTGCCTGTAAGGTGTGTTTTGAGTCTGTAAAGATTGAGAACCACTGTATTAGGCAGTGTAAATGAGGACTTATCCACTGTGGGTTTTTTTTTCTAGTTTTAATGTTAGTATGGCTTGATCACTTTTTCCTGAAAATCTGAGCTCCAAATGAAAATGCTCGTTAGTATAATTCCCAAAGTATATTTGTCAGTAGTGCTTAAAACCCCTCCCACGTGATTTGGCTTGTGGGCAGGCTGTGTTCAGAAAGCATCCCACTGCAAGAATAGGAGATGAATGCTGTAAACTAGAATTTGAGATGCGCTGGCGAATGTGTGGGGACACTTTTATAGCACTTACTCATGCTGTGCTAAGCTCTAGGAAGTATCATTGCTCTCCTCCTTTTCATGAGCATCTTTCCCCCTTCCCCCCCACCCCAGAAAAGGGGGAGGGGCTGGGGGGGGAATAGATGGTAGAATTCAAAATGTGCCATGATGAGTTGCTTCAAAATAGGTGGGTTTTTGTCCATTTATGTCCTGCACCGAAATCATAGAAAGAGCCCCATGGTTTTTTTTGCCTTTAGTTTTTTAAGAAGGAAAGAAAATCAGAATCCAAAACCACTTTCATCGGATGGTGGATTTGTAACCCTAATGATAGCAATCATTTGGAGGAGGTGGAGGCTTCTTTTACTTTTACAGCTGGTGAGGGATCAGAAGACTAGTAAGACAAGGCTCCTGGCATTTCTGAACTAGCGTTGGGCTCCAGGCCAAGTTTAGTTTTGCAACATGTCCATGTTTGACGTTGATAGAGAGCTAGTCAAGAGCAAAAAGCTTAACAAAAAGTCTCTTTAGTAAATGGAGCAAGAAAATTAATTTGTCTCTTTGCCCACAGGAAGGAAAAGGGAATGGTTTAAAATAGAAGATGCCATAAAAGTTCTTCAGTGTCACAAACCAGTACAGGCCTCCTATTTTGAAACCTTGAGGCAAGGCTGCTTGGCAAACAATGGCACCCCCGTCATGACCACGACGTACTCTGAGAGCTCCATGTCCGACATCAGATGACTGAAGATGTCCCTATGAGAGAGAGATTTTGGAAAACAGACTGAAACGTGGATTTCCACCACCCCCTCCTCCCTCCCTCCCTCCCTTCCTTCCCCTTTCATATTGCCTCCTCTGTCATACAAGGCTTGGGCAGCAGCCTGTGGCAAAGCAAATGTTCAGAGTGTTGCGGTTTAGTGCAAGATGGGGTTTTTTTTGTTGTTTTTTGTTTTTTTTTGTTGCTTTTTTGGATATGTATTTTGTAAAATACATTTTGTGCATGAAGTGCCCCTTCCCCATTACACCACTCCCATGACCCGGAGAGCGAGGCTGCCAGTCTCGCCTCTGCCTTGTGTTCTGAAGTGTTCCTGTGTGTGTCATTCCCAGCCATAGCCATTTTTCTTTTTCTTTTCTTTTCTTTTTTTAATTAAAGAAGACTACAAATGTGAGATCAGTTCTTCAAGTCTTAGAGTCTATACTGTAAGGTGCTGTTTCAGACCTTGTGTGGTGGTCACTTTCAGCGCGTATGTGTAAACTTTTTTTTTTCTTTTTTTTTTTTTAAGATGGAGGAATCTAACTTTTTAATTTCGCAGGAATTTTTTTAAACCTAGGCTGCTTTTGAAAAGGAGGGTTTCATAATTAATCTGTTTTGCCTTGTTTTGTTGTTGTTGTTGTTTTTTTAAAAGAAAAAAACAATACCTTTTGTGACAGTGCTAGTGGCTGGGCCAGTTTACTCCCCCATAACCCCTTACTCCTACCTGCAATTTTAGTGCAGTGACACCTTGAAGTTGAGGGCAGAGTTTTGATCACCTGCAGATATCCCTGCTGTTCAGTTTCTCCTACAGCTTCAGCCAACATTTCTGCATTGACATGCGCGTGAAACACAAGGAATTGGTCTTTTACCACCCAGCCAAAAGCAAGCAGCCTCAGATATGCTTCGATAGAAACTGAATTTTCCTCCTCTGTGGTAGGAATCAGGGATTCTGAGTGGGGTTACAGTCTAGCAAACTGGAGCATCAGTCACCAATGCTGTCCTGCTGGGTTGGAATTCTTTCCCATCCTGCTGCATTTTGCTGGTGTCTCTTCTTGTCCACATGCCTTACACCATGCTGAACTGGATATTGTAACTTGTGCTAAAGCATTGGATTGTACTTACTGAGTGTTATTGTACGAACCCTTGGTGGAATGGCTGTTGCGTCCCTGAAAAGAAGTCCTGGGGAAAAAAATTCAGGTGTTCAGTCTCTTGTCTGTGGCGTTGCAGCACTTAATTGCACTACGGAGCATGCTCAGAAGGTTTAAACTTTCTCCCTCTGTGATAAAGGTACAAGCGGCTCCCAGGCAGAGATGCTAGTGTGGAGTAGTACACGATTGAATAGTGTAGCTCCCCTGTTGCATTGGCACACATCACACTTCTGTTTTAGTTTTGTTTTTCTTGATGTAAATTCCATGCTGTCTTGATTTGCCAACAGTGTTGTCTAGTTGGGAAATAAAAATGGAAAGGGTTGGGGCTGGGAGGGGGTGGGATAGGGACAGGTTTGGGAGGGGCATTAGTTAATCCCTGGCTTGGGACAGGAGCTGGTTGCTGCCTTCAGTGACTTCTCCTTTGTCAGAGCAGAGCCAAGATGTGAAATTAAATCTGCAGTACTCTTGTGTTTTTTTTTTTTGTTTTTTGTTTTTAATTTTATTTAACACAATTTATTCTAATAAATGCTCAAGACTGTTCAAGAGCTTTCTCTCTTCCCAATAGGGAATTATAGTTTAACCATCTGATAGAAATGTCCACGCAGCCTGGGATATAATGGAAAGTGGTAGCTTTGCTACTTTGGCAAGAAGCTATTTGATTTGAAACCCCTTTCTGTTCCTTTGCTGGTTCTCCCTGTTTTCATCATGGGGAGACCAAGGCCAAAAGCAGTGCCAGTGATCACCAACATGAAAAGCCACATGCAAGAAAAATGCTGAGGCATTAGTCAAGTAGTAGCTTGAAACTGAGCATCTGGAATTGAGCCTAAATTACACCAGTTCAGTTCCCTTTGACTTAGAAACGAATGTACAATCCCTTCTTGGTCTTTGTTGAGCAGCCTAAACCGAACTCTGAAAAAGGGCTTAAAATACTATATCCAGAAATGTACAAGAAAATAAAAGGATCGCTCTTAACCAAGCCGTCAGCGGCACCTAACACAGCCATTTACTGCCTTCAATTGATTTTGTCTTTCACTGTATAGATGAATATGTTGAAAATGCTTTGCAACAAAACAGCTGGTACTCCCGAAAGGGTAACTGCAGTTTTAATATCAATAGCATGCACATTTTTGTTTTTTGTTTTTAAATCTAAAAAATGTTTTTACAGGGCTGTTAAACTGACACTTTAGGGTAGAATATTGTTAATGACTTGCTAATGGCTTATTTGTTTGGGTCAGAAAAATAAATTGTGCCAAGAAAGTATTTAATGTGGCATGACTTGATGCTGTTAATATAGTTCCATTGAGTGGCTGGTGTTATGCCTTTTTAACTGGAAATAGAAGATTCAGCACCTCAGGTGGAAGTAGTTTTTATTGAACAGCTGTGCACTTAAATCGGGAGCAAGGTTTTTTTATGTGTAAATCTCTCTTCCCCTGTTGGTACCGTATATTGAATTCACATCCTCCCCACTGTCTGAGGTTCTGTAATACCTGAAGTAGCCAGGTGGTATATCCATTTAAGTAATGTTAGCCAAAATGACACCTAATTGGTTTGGGATTGATGATTAAGTTACCTTTTTAGATGCAGACATATCAAATTTTTATAATGGCTCCATAACTCTGGCAGTGGTGGCTAGCACCAACTTGATTACGACAGACTTCCAGCATCACAAAGACTACTGCTGCTGAACTGCTATTGGCGGTAGTGGACATTTTAACCAAAAAAGTATGTATTGTCCAGGCTGGCCCTAAGTTTAACGCTAAGATGTCTCTTTCTCCCTTGGATAATCAGGGCTGGTGCTGATTTAACCATCTGTGACCTTCAGTACCGTTCCTATCTTGATTTGAGCAATGGGTTTTAACCAGTGTAGACTTAGGAGTCGTCCATAAAATAGAGTGGGGGAAATTTCTAGATTTGGTTTAAAATTTTCTTAAGATTGTAAGAATCTGGGAAGTCCATCGGTAGCTTCTACTTAGATGAAGATTGGGATGCTTGCCTTAATGTCCAAAAGCAGAATTTTCAGTTGAATAAGTATCAGATACTCATTGCGTGTAGAGTTCAGCTTGGAGTTGCCAGTGTAAGGGTTTTCCTCCATCACCGTTTGAACCTGATGTTCCAATGTGAATAAAGTCACGTTTTCAGCTGGACATTGAGAGGCCACTAACCTGACCATTCCTAGTGTTCTGTCATCTGTACATCTTATTCCATGTATCTATAAGGAGGGTTCTCTCACGGGGGCTAACAAGCTGAAAGGCTGACCACAGAGGAGGAAGAGTAACTGAGTAGTGAGACGGCGCGTGATGGTTTCTCCCACGCGCCCTATTGCGCTTCTCTGCTTGGAAGTGAATAATGATAGAAGAGGAGCACAGAGAAAGAGGTCTTTTCTACGCTAGGAAAACTGCATATATTTTCCCACTGTCAAACACTGATCCAGATCTACCAGTGCTGCCAAAGTTGGGAGTTCTGGTGTGGACGAGCCGCAGCCTGCCAGTTGCGTTTTAAATGCCGTGAGCCAGACCTTTTAAAGGTACGTAAGCGTCTAAAAATGGGGGGTGATGGTGGAAAAATCCTGGTAGGTGCCTTTCTTTTATCTTTAGGTACGTAAATACCTTTTAAAATTCTGACCCGGTGCTACTTTAGCTTTGCTCAGAACAGAAACGAAATGCTAAAAGCACCAATGGCGGCCAAAGTTCCGTCTACACCGTGGTTCCAATTATAACTCACCCTGGTAAAGCTGAAGCAGTTAGCAACAGTAATAAAGGAGATTTAATAGGGAATAGTAATGCCCCCCCCACCCCCCCATGAGGAGTAAGTTAAGGTTTAAGCTCTTGGAAATAGTTCTCAAAGACAGTTTTGGTACAGTGAACAGTGATTTCAGTGGTATTACTTTTGTTCTCTGATCCCACAGTTTAGAAAGTCTCTGTACGTGCAGCAGGATATATAAAATCCACGGGGGGCTTGAAGCAGTTATTGTGAATCTTTTGGTTTTAACTTTGAATTAATTGGCATGTGAGGCCTCTTTAGAGGGGCATTTAAAAAGGCAGAACTCAGTATTTGTAATAAATAAAACTGCATCACCCTGCTAGAAGGAAACTTTTCCCCAGGATTTAATTTTATATACAGGCCAGTCTTTTCTTCTGCCCGTTCTTAAGTAGGTATCTTAGTTTCTTCACCTCTTAGTCATATGTTTATTTTTATCCTCACTAGCAATGCTACTTTACATCTGACCAGCCTTTTTCCCTCCTCCTTTGCCCCCTCCTGCTTCCCCCAGAATTGTCCACCACTACATTTCCCTAAAAAATTTACCAATTGGAGTGTCCCATAATAGGCCATCTTATTAACAATCCTGGTTATTTCAGATCCACCATAGCATAGATCTAACAAGTGATCCCTAGAAAAAAGATTGCCTGCTTTTTGTTTAATTGATGTAATGAGGTAAATTACATTGTTTCCTACATCTGCAGTTCAGCCTATTTTAAGTGTCCTGAAAATGAACTACTGAAATGTATAGCAAAGTGTGAAGCTCTTACATCAATTGCAAATTATAAGAAATACAAGTATATGGCAGTGGCTATGAAGTTGATGGTTTTCATGGTAAAAGCAATAAATGTTTTACGAGAGAGAACTGTGATTAGAAGCATACAGCTGGGTTCTCCCTACTTAATTTGGTCTGAGTTATCTGGATGTACCTGGGACCAGGTCCTGCTGTTCTTCAGGGGAGGGAAGAACAGGTGGGTAAGCTGATAGGCTAGGTTCCCCTTGGGAGGCGTATAGCTGTGCTCAGGTCTTTGGAGCAGCTTCTGTGTGCTGCTTTTCCCTCCTCAGCTTTTCAGCCAACCTTTTAGTTCTGAGTATAACCTTTTCAGCAAGGCTGACTGCTCACTGGATGTTGAAGGCCCTGTTCATGTAGGGGTTTTGGATGGACTGGGCAAGCATCACGCAGTTCTGGAGAGCGGTCACTCAGCTCTACGAGAGCCTGAGCTCTTGCTGGCCTGAGGAGCAAGCATGTTTGGGGTCTTTTGATTGACACTATGGACCTGGAAGTGTCCGAGGTAAGATCTTATTATTGGATACATATAGATTATGCATTGAATAATTGACTTGGAACTCAGACATTAGAACGCCTTAAACCTGGGCACGCAAGAGTGCAGATGGTGTCTTTAAGGCTAATCTGCCTAGTGGTCATGCTTTAGTTTGATGTAGCTGCGAGGGTTTGCCTGCTTTAAACTAATAGCAATTTGTGCATTCAGTGAAAATCAGTTATGGCCACTAGCCCTTCTCAAGATTAAAATGCTCAAAGGGTGGAAGAATTTACCTGCTGGATTAAAACAAGGAACTGTACTGAGAGCCTGCGGTGCAGATCGTTTGACTGGTTTTCCTTTTCCACATTTAAATTTTTTCACATAATCTGCATTTAGATTCGAAGTGCCACGCTCTAGAGTACTGTATGTGAGCATGTTAGTGGTTAGTTGTGTGGATATATGCTGGTTATAAGGAAACTGGAAATCTTAGTGCTATCAGGCCCCAGTGGGTAGTATCTTTTCCTGAGAAACATCAAGAGGAGAATGAAGGGATTTTTCTGTTCCGGTATACAGTACTGCCAAAAACAGAGCTAGTGTCTTCTGACCTCCCCACAAAGCTGGATTGTTTGGTTTGTAGCGCTGAGTTTACTACAGATGTGGGAAATTAATATTGTGAACAGCAGGTGGAGGCTCAGACTTTTTTGTAGTCTTGGCTCATGGCATCTGTGTACAGAGAAACTACTGCTTAATACTGGAAGAGCTGTTTTATCAATGTTTCCATTGCTAGATGGCGTGTATTGTAACTTAAGCTAAAAATTCGCTATAGGAGATCAGAAAACCCTGCTGCTTTCTTTGCTGTGGCAAGACTTTAGGAAACACAGATGTTTTGCATTTGCATCTCTTAAGTGTATTGTCTGGCAAAACGTTTGCCTTGGTTAATGTCTACTTTGTAAAATAAGACTGGTAAATAATTTAAAACGTAGATTCAAAATGCCTTAATTGGTATAAATTAATAAGACTCAGTGGGATTGATACTGTGACAGCTAATAGGCGTGCAGATTATGGAGCAGGGATTCCTACTAAAGATGCCCTGTGCCATGAAGTTATAAGCATGGTGTGCAAATGCCACCATCTCGAAGCTGGGCTATTAATTTAGGAGGTGCATAGCATCATAAGAGCTTCACAACTACAACGTTTCAAGGTGAAGCTGTAGAAGATGTTTATCTCTTGAAATTAGGGAGGATCCTGTAGTAGGTTTGAGGCAGTGTAATCGTCTCCTGTAGCAGGAAGACCTAGTCTGGATTTTCTGAAGGTCGGCTGACCTGTTTACACTTAATACCACTAGATAAAGCTGAAGTATTAGGCTAATATTACTGGTAAATTATATTAATCTATAACATAACTTAATCTAAGAGGAGAGGCTAGAAATTTCAGATCTAGTAGAGTGATATTTCTTGGCGATTGCATAAAATTTTGGATCTAATGGTGGGAGCAGATGAAAAATACTATCTCCATCTTTGGACCTCCATTTTTAATTGCTCCCTGAACTTATTAGATGAAGACGTGAAGAATAAAACATTTGGGTGCTGATGGTGGGAAACGGCCCCATAAATTCCTCCCAGAAAACTTTGGCAACATGCTATTATTTGTCTGAAGAGGGTCTGTTTTTTTTTTTTTTT